CTTCCTGCTGACAAAGGCCAGGAGTTCATGTTTACAAGTCAGCATGTCATACATAGGTTAGGCAGATCAGGTTGAAACAGGATGCCCTTTCAACCTTCTATTTTCTTACCTCAAAATTCACCCGCCCTCAGTAAACTTTCTCCAACAAGAATGACCATTGTTCAATTTGATGAAACCTCAATTTAAAAAATGACTTTGGTTTCTCAAGCATGTTTATATATCAAGTAGGCTATTCTATTAAAATAAGAGGCTAGTTTAGTAGAAAACCAGATTGGTGAAAATATTTCACATGAAGAATCATAAGTGAACTAAATCCTCATAGGGTTTTATACCCCCAAAGAATGCAAAAGACACAGTGGGCAGGGGTGAAATACCCTTTTTCATGGCTGTCTCTGTATTTAGTGAAAGTCCTGCAGATTTTGCCCTTACACAATGTAAAACAGGGAAGTATAAAAACCAATGCCATATGAGAAAAATAACGATGTAATTAAGTTTGTTGTTTGTTTTTGTTTGTTTGTTCTCTTTTGATGGTGGGAAAGGGAAAGGCAAAAAAAGATAAGCATTTATTATGTTGCAATTCTCCACATAAAACCAAAACAAGAGAATAATATATGTTAAACGCTCCAGAGGCCATTTCTACATCCTTTTTTGATCTTCTTTGTTCACTTCGCCATTGTATAATGGCTTTCTTTATGTTTAACTCTCCAGGTTAGTTTGTAACTGTGGCATTTAATCCTCATATGGACACTTGGGAACAAAAAAATGAAAAAAAGGAGTGAGGTTATTATTCTTTTTGTGCAGAGATAAAATTATAGATTCAGAAGCCCTTCTTCAAGAGAGTATGAGAAAGCATAGATCATTTCTTAAATCCACAGTTCCAACATGTCTCCTTAATAGTCTCCTTGCTCCTAAACTGACAGGGTTTATAAGGTGCAAGTTTCAAACTGGAGCATAGGCACCATAAGAGTGTCACTGTTGGGCTCCTTAATTGCACATTCCATGATAAGACTATAAAGTGCAATGGCAGAGATTTGAAAACTAGGAGCTCTTTTATTCTGTTTCTTTTCGCCAAGCTCCCTTGACTACCTTCTTTCTTTACAAAGATGTTTTACCTTGTGGCGCCTATGTTCTTATAATGACACATGAGAAGGTGTTTAAAGGTCTTCTTGAAGGTGGCATTACAAAGTGCATAGCAGGCAGGGTTGATAGTGCTGTTGATGTAACAGAGCCAATAACCAATTGTCCACACTGTGTTGGGGATGCAGGGTGCACAGAAGGTGTTAATGAGCACCATGACATTGTATGGGGCCCAAGTGATGATGAAAGCCAACAGAATGGCCAAGATCGTCCTGGTCACTTTCTTTTCCCGGGAAGGAGGAGGCTTCTTTTTTGCAGGCTGCTTGGTCATCTTTACAATCTTGCGAGCAACAATGTTCTGTTTTTCATTTCCATTCTGACCTGAAGAACCAACTAGCTCCACGGTGGTATTAGTTGGGGTACATGTGTCACCTTTTTGGGTCTTGGTGACAATTTTGATGCATGTTTGCTTTGAGTTCTCATCTTTGGAGTGGCCCAGGGAAGTGGAAACTGTGTTTTCATCCTGGGTTATTTCATCATCTCTCATATTAGAGGCGACAGCACTGACTGAGGTGGAATCATTGGAGCTTTCCTTTTCCTCCCCCTGGACACAGTTTTCAGTCACAGCATCTCTGGGAGCTTTGCCGTTCTGGATTTTGTTGTGCTCCAGGCCATCATCACTGCCAGGCATGTTGTTGTTGTTTGGCTTCACTATCCTTCCTTGTACCAGACTTGGAGAAACTGGATCTTGGTTGGCCACAGGCTCCTTTTTGTCCTTCTTTATCCTGCTCTTACTGGCTCGGGATATGTGCCAGTATAACACAGTCATGATGATCACAGGCAAATAGAAAGCTGCAATGGCAGTGCCAAAGGTGACAGCAGCATTGGAAAAAAACTGAATGTAGCATTCCCCATCCTCCACAGTTCTCACCCCTACAATGAACTGCCAGAAGAGAATGGCCGGAGCCCAGAGGATAAAGGAGAGAACCCAGGCAGCTGCAATCATCATACCTGCCATCTTTGTGGTCCGCTTGACGGGATAGGTGAGCGGTTTTGTGACACAGAAGTATCTGTCAAAGCTGATGATGAGCAGATTCATTACTGAGGCATTGCTGACCACATAGTCCAGGGCTAGCCAAAGGTCACACACCACAGGTCCCAAAGGCCAGTAGCCAATCACAGTGTAAAGGGTGTACAAGTTCATGGAGAAAACACCAATGATGAGGTCAGCACAGGCCAAGCTGAACAAAAAGTAATTGTTGACGGTCTGGAGGTGGCGGTTGACTTTAATGGAGACCATGACCAGGATGTTGCCAATAATGGTCACCAAACTGAGGGACCCAGCCACAAGGACAATAAAAACCACTTCAAATGTCTTATAAGGACTGGTCAGAGCCAGGCCATTGTTAGAGGAGTTTGTTGAGTTATTCATTTTGTGTTCTCTAATCAGTAGCCAAGTAGCCAAATACACATTTAAACCTGCAGGGAAATAGAATAAAATTAACAAATACATAGTATAAACATTGCTTTAAAATATATCAGATGTCTCTCTTTTGAACTATATTTTTTACTCCAAAATCTTCCTTCTTTCTCCTACAAGTTCATTGCGACTACCTGCCTCAATTCCCCATATGAAAAGCAAAGACTTTAAATGAAGGATTCAAAAGATCCTTTCAGGCTGGCAATGTATTTGAAGTCTGATGACATTTTGAATATGTTCACATCTAGAACTGAATATCTATCTATCTATCTATCTATCTATCTCTATCTATCTGTCATCAGTCAATTTAACTGAGCATAATATTGATGAATTGAACTAAATAAGCCAAAATTATACAAAAAACTTTCCAAAGCATCAGGAGGTTTCTGGTATAGACATAAAAATTAATAAACCAATAGGAGGACTAAATTATGGGGGAAGCATAAAACATGTAATATTGTGTGTGACTTTTTCCACCAGGTTTCTCTAAGTGTTTTTCATAATAATACTGATAATGATAATAATAAAGATAATAATGATACTCCTTTTAGCCAATACATTCCCCCCAGTGAGTATTATTTTTTTCTGATCTCCATTTTACACTTGTAGTTAGTGTCCCACAGCATATTCTATGTAGTTAGCAATATTCCATATCCTGCAAAAGAAATTATTTATCAAATGTATATTGATATGATTATATGAATTTTCTGATTTTTTTTTTTTCCCAAATCACTACCAAGTGTATTATCTTGTTGTTCTTCCAGACAAATCTTTGGTACAGTCAGGCTAGAAATTATATTTGTTCAGCAGAACAGGGAACTGAAGCCCAGAAAGATTAACTAATTTATATAAGGTCACATATCAAGTCAATGATAGAGATAAGACTATGAACCTTAGTTTGTTCAATCATTCACTCATTCACTTTGTCCTCGCATACCTATTAAGTAACTCAGGATTAAGCATTATGATATACTCTGGGTATTCCCTGATAATTAAGACAAGGTCCTTGCCTGTGAGAGGCATACGCTCTGGTGGCAGTGATGGGTTGGTAAAGGAGCAATTATTAAACAGGAGTGCACTTTCTGCTGCCCAACCCTGTTGTGTTTAAGTAAACACATGTTCACCATTTTCAGATAATATCATCGAAGTCTGGAGACAATTGAGCAATCTTTCATAAGGGACACTGGAAAGAAAGTTGAGTTTATCAAATGAGCTATGACATATTTCTGGGGACACAACCTCTGAAGGAAGTGGCCCAAGTTGACAAAATCAATGAGTTGTGGGCTTCCCTGGTGGCGCAGTGGTTGAGAGTCCGCCTGCTGATGCAGGGAACACGGGTTCGTGCCCCGGTCTTGGAAGATCCCACATGCGGCGGAGCGGCTGGGCCCGTGAGCCAGGCCGCTGAGCCTGCACGTCCAGAGCCTGTGCTCCACAACGGGAGAGGCCTGCGTGCAGCAAAAAAAATAATAATAATAAAACTAAAAAAAAAAAAAAGTTATGAGTTGTGAGCTCCAATCAAGCGCTGTTCTGTAGAGCTGAGAGACTTACAAAAAAAAAAAAAAAAAAAAAAAAAATCAATGAGTTGTGTGTATCAGAAAGTAAGCATTGTTGAGAAGTTATTTGTTGGCATTTTGAAATTGAGAAATCTCTATTCATTTAGGTCCCCATAATTACAAAGAAATACAGATGGAGCAGTGGTTTTCCCTTGAAATTCATGTAGAAAATTATTTCATAGTACAAATAGCATTTAAACGAAATGGATTATTCTTCTTGGAAAGCAAGTTATCTTCAAGTATACTTTTTAAAAACAATAACTTAGGAGGAATTTGGCCTTAATAAACAAGACCCAAAACTCAGAAGCCATAAGAAAAGTATATGTAAGCACTACATAATTATTTTAAATTTTTGCATAAAAAAAGTAAAAATAAAAATTGGGAAACAATATTGTAAAAGCACATGATAAAAAGTTACCTAATGTCCTTAATACAAAAAGTTTTGAAATGAAATAAGATGAGAAGACTAACAATCTAAAACATTGATACACTCGCTAGATGAAAGACAAATTAAATGTTAAATTTTAATCATGTGAAAAGATATTCAACATCACAATTTAAAAGTGCAAATATGTTGTCATTAGTTGGGATATAGGAGGTGGTTTAGTTATTCCATGACCTACTATCCTGACCCTAACTCATCATTCTAAGCACCCTAAAAGGCAAAGACACCCAAATCCAAGTCACCCAAAGACAACTGTAATATAGAGTGAGAAAAGAAAATGCAGACACAAACAGTGGAAACCATTTCTTCATCCACAGTTGTTAAAATTATTGGACATTATTGGTTGGAGTTATTGAGGTAATTTCCTTGTAGGGAACCGTATCTATATCTCTAAAAATGTAAATACATTTATAAAAATTTAACATTGAAGAAACACTTGTCTCAGGAATACTACATATAGGAATTTATATTTCAGCTATAGTCAGAAAAATGTGCAAGAGGTCTACTCAAGGACGTCCATTCAGAAATATTATAGCAAAGAAAAAAAACCCACCTAGAAACATTAAAACAATTCATTGACAGAGGTCTCATCATAAATTTCTTAAGGAAGACATAAGGAATTTGAATTTAATCTCTAAGTCATGGAGAAACTTTGAAGAGTTTAATTAGGCAAGTAGTTTTGATGGAATGGAATTTACCATATTTTGTTTCAAAATTCTCCATATTCTGTTTTACCCATCTCTGTGAGTCCTATTACCATCAAGTTAAAATTCTTAGCCATCTCCTGGCTCCTGCCTCTCCCACACTTCCTGCAACCATGACCTGTCAACTACCTTTTAAGTATCCTCTGAAGTTATACCTCGTTCCCATTTTCACTCCCATTTCCTTATGTTAGGCCCTACTTACTTGTATCATTGACATAATTAGACTCTTGATAAAATTTATAATCTTGCCCCCTTGCATCTTTCCAGAAGTATCTCAGAACTTCCCTAAATATCCCACATTAAAGGCAATTACATGCAGTTATCCAAACACAACATTGTATGTTACAACTTCATGCCATTTTCCATCCTTGTCTAGTATCTTCAAAGAACCTCTCCTGCATCCCCTCATCCTTACATCCTCACATTTCTCACCTGTCTGCCTCCTATTCAGCCTTCAGGCATCATCAACTCGATGAAACCCTTTTGATAGCTTTTAGCCTAGCTGTTTTTTCCACAGCATGCCTCATATCATTTTATTCTGTTCTGTTGCTCTTATTCTCCTGTTTGTCTACAGTTATTTGAATATCAAGTGGAAAGCTGAGTAAATTATACTCCTCAGACTATAGCCAACATCCTCATCAGTTTCTGCACGGTCCTCTTATTTTTATTTAATCAATGTTTTCCTTCTTTTCATTGTTATTTCTCACATCCCATTACCCTTTCTCTCCTTCAGAACTTGTTCAAGTTGCTTGTACTATTTCTTTGGCTAGATATGCAACTCTGGAAAATATACAATTTTTCCCTTATGATCTTAATTTACTAAATGATACTGTGTCTTAGATGTTGTTCTGTTTCTTTTTATTTTTCATTCCATATTATGTTTTTATATTGCTCCAGCTATTTCAAATGTATTGCTTCTATTGATAATTCCATAGTGAGTAAATCATGGCATCTTTTCTGATACATTTCTCTAGTGATGGGCATGCAGTTTGCCTCAAACTGCTTGAAATGGTGCTGAAATTAAAATTTTCCTATGGACTTGAGTTACAAATTTCCCTATCATATAATCCCAAGATAGGGACCAAGGCACTGGACGAAGGCATGGGTATAAGCCTTCTTCTGACTACAGTCATATTATTCTCTTGGATAGCTGCAGAGGATCCTACTCTGACCAGGTAAGTCCTGTTTCTTAATAACCTTTAAACAATTGTTATTATGCAACTTTGTAATACTTGCCAATCCCAGAGAGACAACATGCAGCTTTTTGTCTTAATTTCTATTTCTCTGATTACTAGAGAGGCTGAGCACTTTGTTTCCTACAGTTAGTAGCCTTTCAGGTTTCAGTTTTTGTAGATCCCCTGTTTAGACCTTTGACCCATAGGACACTGATTGATACACTGTCTATGTATTTTTCTTTGTCACTAACAAAACTGTGAATTTTGACTTCTGAGTCTTTGTAGCTCTACCATCCAGCTCACTGCCTCGACTAACTGGTGCTCAAAAATGTTTGTTGAATCAATACAGGAGCAACAATTAATATTATTAGTTCAACGCCTATTTACCTAATCAGTGGAATTGTTTCAATACCACTGCTTTTGGTCATTACTTATACAGTTGTTTATTCATGTAATTTATTTGAACAAAATAATTTCACTAATCCAATAATTATTCTAATGATTCCTTATTAGCTAATATAACAGTAAGTTCAGAATTCTGACTTGCTTATAAGCTTGCTTTTGTCTATTCATTAGATAAGTTCATGGATATTTTTAGAATTGAGTTATATGTATGTTCAAAATGTTCATTTTAATACTTTGATTGAAAAGTACCAAATATTAATTTTCCCAGTATCCTTTTTGATACTTTAATTTATTCTTCACACTCATTTTAATAAAACATAGAGCAATATTTATTTTATTTAAAAAATATTTTTGGTGACTTCCTCTGGAGAATTTTATATATATATATATATATATATATATAAAACATTTAAGTTAAAAAATAAACTAGCTTAAAAAATAAATAAATAAATAAACTAGCTTGATCTCTTATTTTATGGAAATAAGAAACTGTAAGAATGAGCAAGGGATTTGGTTCTTGCCATAACTTCTGCTAAAACAATAACTATTATTATTCTAAAGCTTTACAATAACATAAAGCTTCATGATTCTCATGCTTATGAGCATCCTTTAATTTTCAATTAGAAAATAATTGAGGGGCTTCCCTGGTGACGAAGTGGTCGAGAGTCCGCCTGCCGATGCAGGGGACACGGGTTCGTGCCCCGGTCCGGGAGGATC